TACATAACGTGCTTGTTATGTTTTTTTTTTTTCTGTAACTGCCTAGTCACCTTGGAGTAACAACATACGCGGCCAATTTTTGCATGTAGTTTTGCATGTACAAGAGCCTTGACGGTGTGAGGTCAGCATTGTTATATAGTTCATATACAAATGAAATAAATAAAGCTAACTGTGTCTTCTCTTAGGAATTCAGGGCGTTGTGGAGGCCTATCAGAACTGCCTTCCAAAGATCCAGCTCTATGGACCTACTAATATTGCCCCAATCATCCAGAAAGTGGCATCTTCTGCCTCGGAGGAGATGCACACCAAGGAGGCGATGGTAAAACAGACATTGAGACTACACAAACATTTAACCACGGGGCAGCATTCACAAAACTAATGAGACAATAGTCTATACTCTAGTCTTTAAGTCTTTCAGGAACCACTATTATGTTGTCAGTGCAAAATCCAATATGGGACACAAATAAGAAATGATGCTTTAGCAATGTATTTGTCTTCATTTCAGTCGTGAAATAGGCTGCACAGAACTAGTTGATCTGCTGCTTCATCCCAGTTCTCCTGTCGATTCCAATGAGTTTTACTGAAATTAGCCCCTCAAAGTCAGAGTCAAAGTTTTACAGAGTTTTATTTGCAATTCTATTTAATTCATTTCAATATGTTTTAGTATAGCCCTAAATCACAACAGCAGTCGTCGCTTAGGACTTTACAAAGTTATTGTTGTTGTCAATTCCAACAACAGATCAAAGAACAGTTCGAACACAGTCAATACAATCGGAACAAACATATAGAAGCTATATTGTTCCATGGGGGATGGGATGACCAATGTCCACAGGTTTCCCTGTCGGACTAAGGTTTCCCCCTTTCTCTTTCCAGGAATACTTTATACTGTTGATTCTGACTGACGGAGTGATCACGGATATGGCTGATACACGGGAAGCCATTGTGCACGCTTCGCACTTGCCAATGTCCGTCATCATTGTGGGCGTGGGCAACGCAGACTTCACCGACATGCAAATCCTGGATGGGGATGATGGCATCCTCCGTTCCCCCAAAGGAGAGCCGGTCCTGAGAGACATCGTCCAGTTTGTCCCCTTTAAGGACTTCAAGCATGTGGGTGCTGACTTTGTGCCTGTGGTCTTTGGACGTCTTTATTTCACATGAAATATTATCAATGCTGACAAATAGTCTGGTCCAATCTAGTTGGTTGTTAAGTGTCAGATTTGGTTAAAACAACCAATCCATAAATGGTCTTTTCAATCAATCTCCAATGGTTCCATGAAGCCATTATCAGTTTAAACAATTAAATTAGTTTTTCCAACCAATGTGTTTTAGAGTGCAGTTTAGAACAATGTGGTAGCACTATATAGAATGTAGATATTTTGCACTGTTTAGTCTTATTAAACAAAACAAATCTTCTGCTTTTTGAAGTAAAAGCCTGAAAGAATGTGAGTGTGATGTTGCTGGCACAACTCATAACGCCCAAAATAAGGACCAGCTTCCAGCTTCAGTGCTTCTGTAGTGGATCTGTGTTGACGTGTGGGTGTTTGTAGGTGTCTGAGCCATATTTTGTCATTAAGAGAGCAAGTATGTGGGTGTTCTGTGTTAGATTTGCTCGTCAGAAGAGATCATCTATCAGACAGATGCCGCCGTGTGTCATTTTGTTTGTCGTGTGGCTTTAATTCAGTCTGCATTTGACAGCCTCTGTTTGGCTTGGTTGGTTATGGTGAGTTTGGTCTGTGACAAGTTGAAAAATCGAGCAATTACACTACTAAACAATGCAAGCTAGAATCTGTTCTAGAAAATGATAAAATCGTGCCCTGAATGTAATCTGAAGTACTTAAACAAACTGGGAGAAGTGAACATAAAGGATGAGTTTGGGAAGATAGCGTGTCTTTGTGGCTTGGTGTGGTCAACAGGAGAGCTGAGCTAAAGACAAAAGGGAGAGAGGGAGTGTGTGACAGGGGTTGAGAGGTGATTTTCTGCTCTGTCGTTTCTTTTCAGAGGGGATTAGCAGGACGACGCTGCTGTGTGACAGGCACAGTACAGCTAACAGGTAGATTGAAGTGAAGAGGGAAAGAAAAGAAGGCTATAGGAGAGAGACTGAGTGGGTTCAGGATGGATTGTATTTGAGAAAAGATTGGAGTACAGGAGTACAGGAAAATGTAACTTGAGTTATTCTACATTGATGTACACCCTTCATTTAGTTGGATGTTCATGTTATTTTTGGGATGGGCTATCAAAGCCAAGGCCTGAGCTCCAAATACAACTTTAAATACAATTTGTGTTGGCCCAAACTACCTAAATGATCCTTAACCTGCAAAATCTATTTATTATGCCATAAGAACCTAGATGAAAAAGATGTGGGGTAGACCTAACATCCATATTCCAAGCCTTATTAACAATGTGGGGGCTGTCGCTCAAATGCAAGATTTTTAATTATTCATTATTGTGTACCCTGAGATATAAAATACAAACCTTGGTGCTTGACTTTATCCTGGAGAATAGTTACTGGTCACAAGAAACCTTTACGTATCAAAGGTTCCAGACAATGACTATACCTATTAAAGTGTCCAAGTGAAGACAATGGGGGTTCTGTGATTGGTGAAAGGAATTAAATCGTTAGTTCAATAAAGCCCTAATCTTTGTCATGTTATGAGCACCTATGGGATCAGTCAACATGTGAAGGGAAGGGATGTTCTGAGAGTTTGTCTGCTCTCTGCTCATCACAACATGAGATTCCACAGATGTGTTATGATGCTCTGTATGTATTTTAGACTCCAGTGGTTCTCATTGTGTCTTTTTTGTCCAGGCATCCCCGGCTGCTTTGGCGAAAAGTGTTCTGGCCGAAGTTCCAAACCAGGTGGTGGATTACTACAATGCTAAAGGCATCAAACCCAAGTGTGTCTCAGACTATGAGACTACACGAACCTTTAGCCCATGATGTTAGATGCATCTTATATACTGTACATTGACGTACTGTATAATAAATACAAAGCACAAGCATATACATAACTGCATACAATAGTCTAGCTCAGAGATTAGTTTGTTCTGGTGAAACGATTTAAATTATTTCAATGATGACTATTGCATGCTTGGCCTCAATGGCCTCACATGGGCCATGGGATATCAATTATTAATATACTAACTACTGTTTATCTGAGAAATGTTTATAGAACCAGGAGAATTATCCTGGACCAGCATGCCCTCTGACTTATCATAGCCTACCCAATGAAATGACGCTGCTACCTTATTCAGATAACTAGCAAGTACATAGAGCTAAAGTTGTGTGAGTAGGCAAACCCAAATAACTGCATCTAGACTGCTAGAGGAATTAGCAATGCAAATGTTATTTATGGGATTTGTAGTCTTCCTAATAGTGTACTGCATAAATGCATGCATAATTTAGCTTTGCTAATATCTTCCAATCTCATGTTGCAGCTTGCTAGTTATAAAATAAAGTAATGCTGTCATTTGACATTCAGGATTGTCTTGGGTGTTTGGGTTCTTTTTTACAGATCCTGTTCAGATCAATTACAATCTGGGCAAAATAATAATTGTAATAATTTCTTAATATTCTTACATTGTAAAGAGTTTTTGAGAGGTTAGATATGCGTGTGTGGTAGACACAATATTGAGCAGAAGTTTTATGTATTATGCATGTTTATTATAATAAAGGCTACTTGATTTTCACATCTGGTGTTTTATTTATTATAACACATATCCATAAATGTATATGAATTTACATTTGGCACCTTTTAAAGCTTTAATTTTTTGGTTTGCACATTGCTTTATGGAGATGAGCTCATGGATAAAGAAAATAGAGGAGGCAGGTGGCAGCCTCAGCATAGATCTATTTCCCTCTGAGCCCCAATGAACACAATTTGTCGATGCAGATTGTGGTTTGTCCTCCTTGAAAAACCACAATGACTCATGACTCACATGGCTTATAGGTGTGGTTAACAAATATTGAAATAATTCCAAATGGTTTGGACATTGAAAGAAATGTCATGCTCCTGGTCTGGTCTAATAAGATTTTTTTAATAACTAATCTTTCACTATATTGATTATAATTACACATTGATCTAATGATTTAACCAAAGTTTTTGTAACTAAGTTAAGCAAAACCCTGTCTTTGAACAAAATGGCATTTTGAATGCGAAGTGAAATATAAGTAAAAAATGAAAAGTAAAACAGTAATATTTTTTATATTAAGTAGCAAATGAAGCATTTAGAACACAGCACTCTGACTGGACCATTAAACAGAATAAATCACAAAATATATTATGTTTTCTGTATTCTGTATCAAAATACATTCTTCCCATCACTATATACAGTAATATAAATTCATTATAAAATAGGGCATCTTTTTTTAAAACTGATGTTACCATGATGCCAGTGTCTTTTTACATGTTTATGTTTGTTATATTATTATTATTTTTCAAATAGTACACTTTATTGTCTCCTTTACATGGTGTGGTCAGACAAAAGTCTGTTTTTTTCTTAACCAACAGTTTTATGCCTCAGTCGATGCCCTAATTTCAATCATACAGATTGATTTTATATTGAAATTATATGACTGTATCTAGCGATGGGAAGAATGTATCTTGTTATATGTATTGTATCTTGTATATATATTACATGACAATATATTAATATTAATATATACATATATACATATATATATAATATGTAATATAATAATATTCTATATATAATATATATAATATATAAATAATGACAAGACCCATGGACAAGACCCCAAGACCCACGCTTCAGCCCTAGATCCATGCTTCAGCCACACGATCCATGAGCGGAACCTTTGTTGACTGACTTCTGAAACAGAGCGGACATTATTGCAATACGCACCGGAAGCAGCCAATGTGACATTTGTGGACAGAGCATGGAACTATTATATTAACGGGACAGAGCTGCTAAACTAAAGCATGGGAAGAAGTGTTTGTTTGTATTTAGTTTGATTCGTGTGTATATTTCTGTCAACAATGGCTGGATGGACCTGCCGCATTCTTCTTCAGAAAGGAGCTCGACTTCTTTCACGTAGAGCAGTGACTGAAAGGTACAAGTTTACCCTTCTAATGTTACCCCGTAACTACTCATAACCTTACGTAAAAAAAGCATCACACCTGCCTCATTCAGGCCTTGGTCCGATCTCAGAAGTTAAGCAGGACAGTGCCTCGTTAGCACTGTGATGGGAGACAGCTTGGAATTCTTGCCTCTGCTGTCCCTCAAAGAGTGGGACAGAAGAGGCTGTAAAGTGATACAATTGACGTTGTGTTCTTAGGCAAAACACTTCACCCACAGAATATACCTGGTAGAAGTCAAGTTGTGTACATGACTGATTGGTGATGGCCTTGCGTCCGTCAGACTACCTCAGGGCAGCTGTGGCTACTGTAGTTGTTTACCACCACTTTGTACAGAGTGAATAATGCCAGGAATGCCAAATTGTATACGATGCAGTTATTATTACACATACTTAAGCTTAGAGTCCTGACATGAAATCACTTTAATTGCATCTTGTGACACATTTTTTAGATACTATTTACTTAACTCTGAATTTCCCTGACTATAACTTTGCACTTGATTAATTAATTTTAGATTAGAAGATAGGGAAAGTATGAAGTATGTAGGTACTCTACAGAACGTTAACGCATATTTCTTATTTTAGAAGACTTTACTTAGTAGCTATAGTAGTAGTAACTTTACTATAGTTCCCAATTTCAGAATTAAACAGTTGAAGATATTAGATTAAATGGCTTAATACTGTGTAATTCCCATTACTATATAATCATTAACATTGTCCTTCTAGTCCTTCCCAGATCATTGCTTGTGCACGGACGGTAAAAACCACAACATGGTTTGAAGAGCATCTCACAAAGGGCAATCAAGAATATATGAGAAAGATCACAGCAGAAGAATACAGAAAGCTGACTGCTGATAGGCTAAATCCACTCAAAGATGAGCCTTGGCCACGGCAGCAGTGGACAGAGGGTAAAGTTGATCCTGAATCACAATGGGAGTTTTACAGCTCATGCTTGACTTTGTTCTCTGTGATTTAGGAAGCAAAAGAGTTGGTCTTGTTGCTGTGAAGCTGGGAATGGTTCCGGTTTGGACAAAAACAGGAGAAAGGCATGTGGCCACAATGTTACAGGTAAAAGGACATGATAAACAAATAAAACCGTGAAAGGGTTATGATCCACTTTTGGCCTTTGATTGTGGTCGATGTGCAGAGCTGAATTAGTGTTTAGGAGCAGACAGCGACAGCGACCAACCTGTGCAGGCACACATTACAGCGATTTAAAAAAGACCTGTGGATTTAAAAAGAAAAGGTTCAGGATGACAATGGACACTAAAATCCCCACTAAACTCACCCTTTGTGAAAGCTGTAGGTTCTGAGGATGAGCTGTTGTTGTTAACATTGATGTGGTTGGTTCACCACCATGCAAGCAGCAATGCCCTATCCAGATAACGCAATACATCCATGGCTATTACCTAAATGCAGGGCTTAAAGTTTTCCGGCACCGTGCCGGAAATCCGGCGTGAGGAAAAAAAAAAAAAAAACATCACCTTTTTTTTTTTTTTTTTTTTTTTTAATATATATATAAATAAATAATGATTGCTGTCATTTGAAAAAAGGTTCAAGTGTGTTCTACCAATTGTATGAAAGGATTGCATGTGTATAGCGCAGGGATTAAAGAGTTCCGTCTAAGTGACGGATTTCCGTCAAATGAAATTGGTCTGAAAAAGAAACAAAATATATAATAATAATATAATACACACAATGAAATGGTTAATTATAACAAAATATATAGTAATACGTGTGAATCTGTTGTATATATATAGATATATATTAATAATTTGAATATAATTGTATTTATATGTATATAGAAATAAAAAGTAACGAGTGGGCCTTGAACGTGCCGTGGCTAGCTACATGAGCGCTCCGTAAATGATTCAAGGCAATGGGACGTAGCCAAGTTAGCGATGGTAACACGGAGGTGATAGTTTCTGAAAAGTGCACGGAGCTTTTGAAAAGGAGAAGAGGACAAGGAAAATGTAATCCCAAACGGAGCAATAACAGCCAGCAGCCCGCGGACCGGTAAACTGGGCGCGTTATCAGAGGAAAGGTAGGACATAATTAACGTTTACCAAACGCAATGCTTTTTTATTTAACGGAATGTACAATATGTACTTTGCTGTGACTGGGAATGGGGACAAGCATGTCTTGGTGAGCTTTTGATAATATCTTGGTGGCGATCCCCATGCAAAACTGCGTGATAAAAAGAGCCAATCAACGAGAGCGAACGGAAGAAACTCGCAGAAGAAAGGTGTGTGTTAGCAGGTCTTATATTCATTCATCAAAGCTAGCCTAGCATGCACGCACAATCACAATCATGGATAATAATGATAATAATAATAATGCATCGGTTTTATATAGCGCTTTTTTGGACACTCAAAGACGCTTCACATGTGTCATTATTCATTCACTCCATACACGGTGGTGATAAACTACTACTGTAGCCACAGCTGCCCTGGGGCACACTGACAGAAGCGAGGCAACCAGTATGTGCCATCGGCCCCTCCGATCACCACCAACCACTCACACACACACACCAGACTCATTCTAGGCAATGGGGGTGAAGTGTCTTGCCTAAGGACACAACGGCAGTTTGGCACTTTACAGCCGCAGCCGCCCCACTCGTTGTTTATGGAAGAAGGAGCTGTATAAGTTGCTGTTGATAACGGAGTGAAAAATAAATGGAGGTGGGCATGGCTGGATGAGGTGGAGACGATGGGATTCTGTTGCTTCATGGTGCAAAAAGATAAAGGTGTCTGGTGCTTGTTCGTACTTCGCTATTATTATTTTTTTATATGGGAGTAATGAGAAAACAAATCAAACAGCTTTGGATTCACCACCAGCTCAAAACTGCGCACTTGGCAGCTGTCCGTGCACTTTCCCACACTTCTTTACCTGGTGCATCAGATTCAGCGACAACTGAGACTAGGCTTGCTCTGGTGGACTGTGTCTGTGACCTAAAACTATCTGTGGCTTTATCGCAGAAAATAACCTGTCGTTCAGAACCATCACTACCGCTGGTAGATTTAATTATCATTAATCATTTGCAGTTGATAAAACTGCGCTGTGCACTAGCACCAAGTTGATAGGGAAACCTTTTTCTTAAACATTGAGTGTCCACAAACAAATGTGGACAGAATTTTGAATGTCCTTTTGCGATATTTTGACGAGGACAGAGCCAAAGGACAACGCCTCATCTCGCCTCAAGTAAAGCCAATGATGCAGATGAACTACTCTCACTAATATTTTGTCAAAGAGTTGACAAGTTGCTTGATCCACTGGTTGTAATTTCACATCAAAATACACCAGTTTAAATGTATATCTTTGAAGAATTCGTTTGATCTGTAATTCATTATATTTCCATGAGAGAATTTTCAGTCACATCTTTTTTTTTTTGCTTTAACCCCTGGATGATGTATTTATTGCCAACAACTGATGTTTATAATAAACATCAGTTGTTGGCATTAAATAGATATAAATTATATGTATGAGCGTATAAAGGCGCTTATAAAAAACGCTTATTAGTGATCATTCTATGATTCATATAGATGGTTCAGGCTCAGGAATTTTTTCAACTTTAACCCATGTAAATGTCTTTAAGTACATGCTAAACATAATGTGTATTTGATGTATACTGATATATGTATAAAACAAAAATAAATGTTTATCCTAATACATTTCCAATACAGTGCAAGCCTCAGACAACTCTGGGAAACCAGAGCAAATGTGTGCGCTCAGTGAGATAAGCTAAGTACAGTTTTACAGGGTTTTCAATTATGAAAATGAAACACATTTTGGGGCACAGAGTTTGATTTATTTGAATAATTGTATTTTTTAATGAACTTGTTAGTAATTTTCAAAAAACATAACTTGTTTATTTATGTTATTTATGGAACAAAAAAGTTAGGTACCTCAGCATTAACTTTCTTCAGCACAAAACATGCACCATTGGGAAAATCCTCCCAACATTTATCAACCTTTAAACCTGGGAGCATGTTTAAAGTTCAGTGCCAAGAAAAAATATGTCAAACATTGTCAAGGTTAATACGTTCATCAATAGTCTTGGATTAATAATTTTACATCCTGATTATATTGTTTTTAACAAAATAAAAAGCTGAAACAGTTCTTCCTCTCCTATGTTGAGATTCTGAATTTATTGTTAAATGATGAATGTTTTGCTATTTGTTATTAATTATAAAAACATTTCATGATAAAGTGGAAAGCTTTAGTTTCACTTTTTGAACCTGAAGCATTTTTCTTTCATTTCTGTTAATTTATTAAATTAAATATTTATGTTTTTGGTTGTAACATGACAAAATGAGTTTTAAGTTCAAGCTTTCCAGAACTTTTGGAAAGCAATGTATGAGATTTTATTTGAATTTCATTTGGTGAAGAGGCCTGCAGCACACACAGTTTTGGGCTCTTCTTTATCCATGAGAAAATGGTGAAATGGACCATGCCTGGATTCCAGTGTTTTCCACAAGTTTTATGAAAAGTCTATTTGTATTCATTTGATTAAACTAATTCTGTGTTTTTACCATCAATAATTCATCTAAAATATGCAGTTTGTTAAATTAAATTGTAACATGGCTTAATATTTGTGATTTAATCTAACCAATTATCACATAATTAATTCTGGGTATTTTCTTCATTAACAATAGCATTGAAAACAGGCAATATGGAAAAGTTTTTTCTATGGATGTCAACATGTGTAAATGTGTTTTTATTTAGCCATTTAATTATTTGTTTCTTTCAGGTGCAGGACTGTCATGTAATAAAGTACATCAGCAAAGATGAGAACGATGGGGACACGGCTGCCTTGTTGGTTGGAGGAAAAAATGTATCGCCATTTTATGTAAGGAGATTTTTAATATTCAATATTTTGCTCAGAAAGATGTGTGTTGCTGGTACAAAAGTAAATGATAAGGTAATTTAACCTGAGGTTGAATTGTGCTCCGCCTGAATCTAGATCCAAAATATCTCTGCGTCTGCACCAGCGACTTATCGCCTCTGAGTGCCCTGGTGTTCTGCAGGAACCACACTGAATCCCTAGAATACTAATTAATGTATAAATGTTTGGTTCTCGGGTGAAAGTCTGCATAGTAGTAGCCCATGAGTATAGGTTTACTAGATATTGGCCTGTTTCTTCTCTTCCTGGTTGATTTTAGTATTCTTCTGCCTCGCTGCATTACGCCTCTAGTTAAGAGTAGGCCTAATGATATATGATAGTTATTTTGTTACATTATTTTCCTGCAAGCTATAGATGGACTATTCTCCCCACATGTGCATTTGTCATTCGCTTCTTCTGGTGGAAATGAAATTCACAGGAGGTCCTCATCTTTATCTCTGCTGTCTAAATAAATGCATCAGTCAGACCTTTATTGCTGCTGCTGTGTTTCTCTTGCGGCGACAACCTCACTTCATCTGAAAGTAACTGTGATGACCGTAATCAACTCAAGCTCGCTTTTCCTGACTGAGCTGTCTATTGATGGAGACAGCGAATGCATCAGCTTGTTTACTCACTGCCAGCCCTAGACAATTCATTTTTTGCGATCCATCCCCATTTTTCAATTGTCAGTGTTAAGGTTTGATTTATTCATTAGTGCTGGACAGATATTAAATGCCAGAGTAGAGATTTTGGCCTGAATGCCTCTCACAGCACACTTCACTTGGAGTTTGTGAGAGTGAGGCTCGTTGGCAGGCGCCATTACAGTCAACAGAAGGGGAGAGAGAGGAGTCTGAAGGGGCGAAGATGAGAGGGAGCTGAGCAAAGGCAAATGTCAGATGCTCGCTGCCAAGGGTGTGTGTGCCGTCTTCTGGCATGTGTGCCCTAAAGGACCCTTGGCACATTTTAAAATGGTTACATTAAGTAAATTCACTCTAGATGCCTGCATTATTCCATTCTTAACCTTATTTCATTGCTCTTGACTGGCAGAGGACCGAGTCGCAAATGGAGATTTTTAGGAATGCTGGAGTACCGCCAAAACAGAAACTCACCTCCTTCAGAGTTTCAGATAATGCCATCATCAAGCCAGGTAGTTATGTTTACTGTTTAACTGTCTGCTCAACGATGAGTTAAATTATAATTCCCCTTATGTCCGCAGGCACTCCTCTGTATGCAGCGCACTTTCGTCCAGGTCAATATGTGGATGTTACAGCAAGAACGTAGGTGGTCAGATTGTCTGGACTTCAGAGTTGGTACAGATCTGTGTTGCATAATGAGGGTCAAATTTAGAACAGACCGCCATGAAGCCCACATTTTGTAGTTTAAACTCTTTAATGTTTACCTAAATCAAAATGATCACATTTTGAGTCAATATCTACTTTAAGATTGGAACTGAAATATACCTCTTTGGGTTATCTCACTTGGTTTTAGGCCCTCTTCCATCAAAAACTTATAAATCAAACAGATATAGGAGTTTAAAAAAAAGACAAAAAACTTAAAATCACATTATTTGTGCTCCTACATTTTAGAATGACATTGCTTTCTCCAAGGAGTGAATGTTAAAGGGATAAGACCATTTTAAAGTCTGAACGTGTTTCCTTAAATACTGCTTTCCAACTTACAAGCAACCAATGCAGAACCGAAATTCTGTGTGTCTAGGATCGGTAAAGGTTTTCAGGGAGTGATGAAGAGATGGGGGTTCAAAGGCCAGCCCGCAACCCACGGCCAAACCAAGACCCATCGAAGACCAGGCGCATCAGGACCTGGAGGGGTGAGACACCCACACAGCACACACGCACACATCGTCTCCTGCACACATTTCATCTTCTTGTCAAGCGATTATCCCAGCCAGATATGAACAGTTGGCTTCGGCTAATCCTCAAATTTGTGTGTATTTTCTGATTGTCCAGGATCCAGCCAGAGTTTGGAAAGGGAAAAAGATGCCAGGGAAGATGGGAAACGTCAACAGAACGGCTCACGGCCTGAAGGTACGTCCGTGATTTTGAACTTGTTCTGTCCTTGAGTTTAATTTCTATTAAATATTCTCACATGAGTCTAATTCGAACTCTTCCTACAGATATGGAGGGTCAATACCAAGTATAATGTGCTTTATGTAAACGGCTCCGTCCCTGGACACCGAAATTGCTTAGTGAAGGTAAAACATTAATTATGCAAACCCCAAGTGAAGTTACATAAATGTCGAAGGCCAATCCGCCGCTTAGTGTGGAGACGAGTGACCTTGCTCGTGTTTGTGCCATCACACCTGGAGCAGTGTGATCAATGTGCTCCCGCACTGTGCTGGATCAGCAGCAATGGACAGTAATGATCTCTGTAATATCCCAACATCCATCTTCATACTCCACATGTGGGCATTGACTTTTATTTGTGTGCCAATAAACAATTGTTTTCAGGGCAAATGATAATGAATACAAATGCTTTTCTAAACCCATAATTGTATGTGCAGGGCTTTAACCTTATTGTATTCATTTCTGGAGTCACCTCTCGCTTAATGAATAACCTCACTGTAACCTTAAAACTCTAAATGGTGAAATTGAATGATTTATTGCATGAGGACGTGAGGTTGTTCCCATAAGAGAACCCAGCTCCACAAGTCATCAATATATAAAAACAGCACTGCTCCAACATACTGTATGTGCAGTGTAAGACCATTGTCCATTATCCATGCATTTTCCACAATACCAGAAAAGTCCTGCGTCACTGTGACATGTGTTTTTATAGTTGCATTCTGTTAGGCATATGATTTAAAGTAAGAATAGGTTTGAGGAAGTTATGCCTCCCTTGTTTTGTTTTTTTCAAGAATGTTCTTCATCCACTCCTACGTTCAGTTAACTGTGTTAGTGTAGTTATGTGCCAGGAAAAATGATTTTTGTGTTTGTTTGAAATATACTTTCCTCAGAGTTGGCTCATAAATCATAATTTTAAAGTTCCATGTTGAGATGCCGCATGTGGAAAATATGATAAAACAAGCGGGTGCTAATGGTTTCTTATTTGCTTCCTTAAACTCTGTGAAAAGGATTGCATTCCATCACATATTGACGCTGTAGAGGGATCATGAACATTGTTGCAGTGGAGTACCATTAAAATGGTTTAACTTGATGTATGTGATCTTTCAGATAAAGGACACAATTCTGCCGAACCACCGTCTGCTGACACCACCTTTCCCCACATACTTCACAGAGGAGGAAGAGGAGCTTGCCGAAGACCTGTACGATGAAAGCCTGTTTGTTCACACAGAGCCCTCGTTAGCGCTCACATAGCAGCGTAAACATCTGTCCATCTGTTTTATTGCTCCAAGTGTCTGTCTCATGTAATTAAAGTAGTTAAGTAAGTCCTTGTCATGTTTTGACTTTCTCTGTGATGAAAAAGCACAGCTTGTCTCATCCAAGTGGTTACCCAGTTATTATAGCCCCCACTTTTGCCGAAACCATGGTAACTGAGGTAGTGATGATGTCACTCGAGGATCCCCAAGCACAAAGAGAAGGGAAGAAAAGATTGGTACAAAACAAGGGAGCGTCAGCTGTGTTGTAAAATATGGAATATCTATGCAGTGTACAATTCAAAGATAGTAGTTTCTCGTGTAAAAGTGAAATTGAAATGCTGAAAGGTTTGGGTGCGGTCATGAAGGAGCAGGGGGTATGAAAGTTAAAAAAAAAAGCTTATGAAGGTTAGGAGGGCAACGGAAGGGGAAAGGAAGGATAGAGACAGACAAAAGGTTGACATTTGTGCATAAGAGGATGAATAAGGACATTAATGTTGCAGTGGGACCCACTGAGCTCTTAAGTCTGTAGAGCTGTTAAATGGGATTGCCTATTGGGTGGATAATAACAATATCGATGTTGATACATATAGACAATGCATAATCAAGGAGTATCAAGTCTCATGTTTAGTGTTCCAACTTGACATTGTGTCTGCTGAGTAATTGAGTGCATGAGAAACAAGGACATTGTTTAGTTACAGACACAGATCCCTTGCAGCGAATGCACCCGACCACATCTGCCTTTTCATTCATTGAAGCAACATATTGCAAGAAGTCTGCATAATGTAGTTTTGTGGTTTAGATAAAGATATATTAGGTGAAAATTAATGCACTTTGCTCCAGCCATACATGCCACAGCCTTGGGGACCAAGAGGCCGCAGCAGCTTGTTTGAAATAGTAATGATATCGTTTGAAAGTCCTACTCTGCGCTGTCTGTACATCATGAGGCAGTTGTGTGGTGGGAGAGGGGAGAGCAGAATGCCAAGAAGAGGGGGGAAAGGGTGGCCGCTGCTTGTTAAAGCAGCAGAGCAAAAATAAAAGACAATGAGGCCAGCTCTGATCCTCCCTGTACCTACTTTAATTGAACTCACATTTCAGATGGAAGTCTAGTGTAAATTGAGAACTCTGCTGCGTTTGCAAGGACACACCCAGAGATGGAACCAGTTATACTGATTCTATAGACTATAAAAGCTTCTAACTGTCACTCATTATCATATTTAACACACACCAATGCACACATTTCATGAATCTTACCCCCAATCACAATTATATTAAATCGTACTTATGCCAGCTTCTTACTGTAAAGTCTAATTGAACATCACAGAAGGTAATTCATTCAGAAAGACAATACCAGCCGCATAATTTCTGCTCCTACAATGAAACATCCTACCCTTTGACACTGACAGACACATTATGTTGGGATGGCTGTGCTTTTATTAAACCGATCCAAAAGCTTTGGTTCCACAAAGCACTTTCATAATAAGTGATTAAATCCCAAGGCAGTTTCTTTTTTATTAAATCATTATACTAAACAAAAACACCCAGGTGACAACAGATCCACTTAATTAATGAAATAAAAGTTGGTTCCAAAGAATTATAGATCTATGTTTGGTCACCCACTGACAACTCTGTGGATATTGACTATAATGACTTCTCTGCATAGAAAGCAGACTTTTAGTAGGTGTTATAGTCAAATCAGCCAAAGTTATGATTCATTCACAACATTTGGACAAAACCGATCTCATATGTGCAAAAACAAATTCAATATGGGCTTCTTGTCATCTCAATAGTGTTAATGACTCACTTACTGAAAATGGCTCTAGCACTCAGTTCTTTGCTTACAGACAAGAAAATAGTCATAATGTTTATGCACTATTTATGCTTAAAAAAATAAGGAAAAAAAAAGAATTCCCTAACAATCCACAACAGTGTAAATAATACTTCAACATTCTCCTTTACATGTTTTAAATACAGATATAATATATATAAATACTATCATGTTGCCAATATATTGATAACAGCAATAAAACTGAAATAGGTCGTCTATCCGCAGACCAAAATTGATGACCACTGCTGTCAGCATCTGCACAAAATACGAGGCATGGCATTTTTATGTTGGGCGTTCAGACTGCCATGACCTCCTGGTGGCAAAAAAAACACAAAAGCTTTCCCCTGTTGAGCAGAGTCAGGTTGTTCAGCTGCATCACAAGGTCTTTCACAAACACTGTCACTGTGAAGGTTGAAGCAGTAAGTTCTGGCAGTCCGAGTCCACAGGAGCCAGCATAGCCTTGATCTTGCAGCAGGGGCCTCAGGCAAAGTGGGGTTAAGTGTCTTGCCCAAGGACACAACGACAGCAGACATCAGTGGGAGTTGGTGGAGAAGGTCTCATGGTGGACTCGAACCCATAACCTTCAAGCCCAATGCTCTACCAACTGAGCCACTGTATCTAATATTCTGTATTAAATCCACATATGAAACTATAAACCACTACTTTTTTCATTTCCTTTGAACCTTGCCACCTATACATCGATGCAATTTTGTTTTTCATTTCATTTCATTTCATTTGTTTATTTCTTTCGAGCCCATAACATTACACATTTGTTTACACAACAAGCATCCCACAACATTGCACAAGAACAGAACATGATTCTGTTCTGTTCTTGTTCTTCAGTGCACAGGAGCATGATTCACTAATGCTCCTGTGCACTGAAGAAAAATAAAAAAAATAAAAATAAAACCACCTATTACATATTCACATAGGCCTTGTTGTTCATAAGCACACTCCAAGAGCTCGAAAATGGAGTGGGAAGAAGAAAAAACTTATACACTCCCACCCCATGTATATTATGATAAATCATAATGTTTCATAAAAATGATACGCCGCAGCGGGCTCAGCACCTCACCCCGACCGGTCCCAGAGACAACGAGCAGCACTATAGCAGCAGACAAACTGCGCAGAGGATGATCCCGGCAGCACACACCAGCCCTCCACAGCCATGCCCCGAGTCATCACCCCAACGGGAATACATGCATAGTTTCCTATACCTGTTTATTTACTCTATTTATTTATTTATCTTTTTTATATATATATATACATATATATACACACAATGTCGTCTGGGGAGTTGCCAGGCAACAGGGCTGTAGCAGAGATGAATTCACTGCTGTTTTTCACTTATACATCAGTAACAGTGTGACTCTGAGGGGAGCTGTGACCAATGATCTTTTTGTTAGAAAAAAAAAACATGTATTCAAATCATGTTATCATCATAAAGGTTACTTTACACAGTTCGTTAAAAAGTCAAGATTACAAGTCTGCTGGTGTTAGAGGTGTCAAGGGTTTGGATCATGTTCGTCTTTTATTTGACAACAACTGAAGAGTCACAATAGTCAACGAGGGTCTGGAACTTCGGCCCAGAGGAAGTGAGGCAGGAGCGTGTGGACACACTTCGTAATATTTACATCGAATGTGTGATTTGATGTTCTCTACAATGTCAACAGATGGGGATTATGTTTATATGTGTCTCCATATTTGCTCATAAATGTCCTGAAAATGACATCTAAACGAATAAGACAAAAACAAGATCTAGTAGATTCAATATTGCACAGAAGGACTGCATAATGCGTATTCTGCGAAGAAATGTTTATGTATGCTGGGGCCATTTTAAACTCCCATAACAGCAAGCAAAGTCATATGTTTCTATTAAAGTGTAAATTCAGTTGGTGTAGTATAATTGCTGCTGTACCAACATCAGTGGGAGGCAGGCCCGTCCTAAGGGCTGTGCGACCTGTGCCGTCGCACAGGGCCTCGCACCACACAGGGGCCTCGCAATCTTCCTTCCTTTTATTTTATTTTATAAATACACTAGTTCAAGGGTCCCCAAAGGGCAGACTGCACTCCAAATTTGGAACCCTAAACCCCTTTCTCTGGACCTCTTTGATTTCGTTTGATCAAAAGAACATTTTTACAAGTAAAGTCAAATTTTCACCAAAAGCGATTTGTAAACAGGCAGGCGCGCGGGCAGCTATGTATGCAACGGGTCCTCCGAAAAAACTGTCAGATAACTTTAGCAGTGTCTGAGTGAGATACAAAGAAAGTAACGGGAATGATCGCAGTGTAGGAGAGATGGATACTCGCGGAGGAGGAGCAGTGAGACAGGTGTGAGCAGAGGAGCAGACCCCTTTGTGTGAGCAGAGGAGGAGGAGGAGGATCAGCGGTGTGACAGGTGTGTGAGCGCTGCTATTGCCAATGTTTAGTCCGAATATCCACATCAAAAACATATTTTTAAAAGCATTAGCAAACACACTGTATGTCTAGCTTTAGCTAGCTGGAGTGTTTTTGTTGTGGTCAGAGTGTGTGGAGGAGGAGGTGAAGAGTATTTTGTTGTTGTCAGCGTGGAGGAGGAGGAGCGTATGTTGTCAGAGTGTGTGGAGGCATGGCAAAAACGTTATTTGATGAGAAAAAAATAATATTGACTCCGCCTCATAGCCATTTTGGCGCATTTTGCCAAAATCTAACTATTAGAAGAAAAAGACTCCTTTTGGTTCAATCTTTTGAGTTGCTCTACCATTTTGCCACAGGACGAAAGAGACATGTCAGCTAAAAAGACCGCGACCAATATTGCACGTAGAGTGTGTGTGCGTGTGTACGTGCGCGCGCCAAACGCTGCATAGGAGCGAAGACACTCGGTTACACGCGTGCTGATCTCGTCAAGCACCGCGCGAGGTGGTGCTGAATTCATGTCAAAGATTATAACAGGAAAAACTTTCCTCAGATCTGGGAAAAAAGTGTCAGGGCAGGGCCTCGCGTTTCGAGTTCGCACAGGGCCTCGCACCCCCCTTGGGACGGGCCTGGTGGGAGGCATAATGTTTTGTCAATGCCCAAGATACCAGGCACGCCAACTGTTTTCCTGGGCACTCGGACAGAAAAAATATACATTTGCATTGCAGTTTTATGTGTCAAATATATCTCTAAATGCCTTTCCTCTGCAGAGTGGCTGG